TTAGCATTTCTTAGTGTCAAAATAACACAAAATTTATGAGTAAATGAACGAATAACAAAAAATTATATGTTTTAAACGTAAATTTAAAGATGAATGAATAAAATATGTGTTGATTTGGCATATCGTGAATGTTAATTTACTGAAAAAATATGCTTCTATGATTCATTTACAAACTGTATCAATATTATCTTTTTTGTGTTTAATTTTTAATTTTAAATAATATCTATGTTATCCTCAAATATATTTATCTCATATTAAATAAATATGAGTGGATTTTTTGGCACACGTGAGGTGTATTTTTAATATAAATTTTCCAAATTATAAAATAATATATAGATATAATAAGGGCGAAGAGCCAGTAATATAAAGACAGTTTTAATTCAAATAATCATAATATAAAAATTATATAAATAAACATACGTTTCGACTCCAATCAGGTCATTTTTAATGTTACAAAAATTAATAAGAATCATTAAAATCTGAGTTAATATAAACGCTTAGTTTAACTAAGTTACATAATTCTTTCAAAAAATAACAAACTTCATTTTGATTCCGGATATATCCAAATTATATAAAAATCTGAGAAAAATCAACTTCTAGGACTGTTCCTGAAATATAACTCTCGATTGTGAATTCGATAAGAAGTAAATAAAAAAAATTAGAATAAATAAGAATAAAGGAGAAGACGCGTTGCAGAAAATGTTGGACCAGTTATTAATTAAATGTCATTTCATTTTCTCTCTTCACTTGCGCGTTGTTGTTTTACCCATTTGACGTCATATCGACGTAGTATTGCTGCTGTCAAAATTTCACACGTCGCGTCCGTGTTGTCGGTCGGGTGTTCGACGGAGAGTACAAAAGTGGGGTGAAAGCCCGATTAAGTTGGTTCGCGGGTCGAGAGTGGAGGGAGAAATTACTTTTCGACGGATTGTGCAAAACTGTCGGTGTTTACTCGCGTCTACTTGGCGAGCACAAAGCGCTGCACGATAATTTCGGGTAAACGGAGCAAACATCCTCTCTATAAGAAATTCACGACCTTTTTCGCATAATGTTTTAAGCGTTTTTTTTTTTTTTTTTTTCATGTAACGCTTATCAATTCTTTCCGTTAATAATTTTTCTTTCGAGATATGGTTTGAATTCCATCCAAGCAACTGAATTATTCGAATACGAATTGAATCTCAAATAGCAAGGTGACGTTTTAATCACGTCTTATTAATGTTCATCATTAAGATGTTGTTAAGAAGTCACCTTGCGACTTTGGATTGAATCACGCGGTTGATTATGTATCTTGAAACGAGGTGAAAGTAAGCGAATGTGTGTATCGGAATATTTATAATTTTATTGGTCGATACTTGATTGACCAATAAATGAATTTACCTTACTTTTATAATTTTCACTTCGTTTCGAGATAGAAAATCGATCCTCAGGGCTTACTTTCTTAAATCTGAATCGCATACGTAAATCTCTGTAATGTAACGTATTTTTCAACGCGATATTTTTCGGAAAAAAAGAGATCCAGATAAAATTCGATTTATATTTCAGTTTCTATGATGATTACAATCCGAACTATTTGAAACTTTCGAATCTAAGAAGTTCGAGAATACTAATTATATATCGATAATATTATAAAATCATTTTTCTCTCTGATAGGTAGAACAAATAGAAATCTTTATATATTAAAATTTAACTTAACAATAATTATTTATGTTGTTAATTAAAAATTATGTTTTAGCGCGATTCGATTTGAGAAAATTTTATCGATGAAAGAGAGGGGGAGAGAGAGAGAGAGCGGAGTGCTTTGTCACAGCTGCATCCTCGCTCGGAGGCGAGGGAGTCATTCGAGAAGCGCGTGTTTGGCGATCAGAGTTTGCTCGGCGGTGTTTGGCGTAGGAGATATCGTTTCCGTGGCGGCGCCACGGAATTACGCGAGCGCGAGGCACGACGACGGGCGAGACTGAAATTAAACGTCGAGTAATCGCGCCGCATTAAAACTCGTTGTCGTGCCACCTGTCCCGGTCTCCTCCGTCGCGCACCGCGTAGGAGCGTGCATTGGAAACACCTTACGCCTTACGGAATACGGGAAGGTTTGATCGGCGGGTCTGGTAGTACTAGAAAGCTCCGCGCCGGGGCGTCGCGGGCGCGCGCGTGTGCCCCGTCCCCTCCCCGCCGCCCCTCTCTTAGCCATTCGCTTTCCTCGCGTTATCGCCTCACTTGAGTGCCGTCCGCTGACCACCGCGGCGTTTCTGCAGCAGCTATTCCGATCCCGCAGAGATCTGGTGCAGACCCCCCTCTTTTTATATAGCAATTTCAGTTCTCTGTCCTCACGTGCAATTTTGTATGGCAATTTTTTTTTTTTTGTTCACCAAGTTAACGCGATAGAATTGCTCGGGAGATAAGCTTCTCTCGCGCAATTAAAGGTGAGGACCCCCGTGTTGTTACGATGTGTTTTTGTTTGTCAGTCGTTAAAACTGAATTTTGGTGTTACGGAGAGTTTAAAAATGACATTTTCCTGCTTGTGTACACATACATATATTACGCGCGTTGCAGTAATCTATATTAAGGAATAGTGAACTTTGACAATTCTTGGTTAAAGCATTTTATTTATGAGAAAGTACGGTCATAAGTCAAATCTTTCAATATTCTGATTAAAGTGAGCACGCGATTACGTATGATCACGACAGCTAAATTTTATGTTGCTTGAGACTTATCGAAACTTAACGAAAAATTTTTATGTTTATATCTGATGCAATTAATGCTAATGTTACTCAGAAAATATTTTGCTCTTTTCACAGATTTTAAATCGTGAAATATGGTCTGCGAAATAATAATTTTACAATTTCGAAAGTCAGAAATCATCCCGAGATAAATTCTTCGACGCATCCAGTTACATTCATCTTGAGAAATTTGAAAGTCTTTTATTTGAAGATCCGCCTGTATTTAAATATTGTCGCATAAATATACTTTGCGAAATATACACCGAGGAAAATGTTTGGTTGGAAGATGGACGAAACAAAAGAATTTAATTACATCAATCAGAATTTCAATTAATCCAACTAGACATTTTTCTCAGTGTACGTCAGAAATTTTAATGCTCAAATGATGGAATTGCAAAGTTCTTTCTTTCCTTCTCGCGGATTTAAATTATCCTTCATTTTATCTTCTAAAGATACTAAGCGTGGCGAATTATGCATTTCAGTTCGGCGTACTTATAATTCACCCAGTTATTCGATATCGATAGAAAACTCGTCAGACATTCGAACGTACAAGCATATGCTTTCAACTACTATTTTGGTACGATTCTATATACCCGTTCTAATAACTTTTTTCCCGATCGAGACGGTTGACCCAATTCTTAACCTCCTGCGACCCGATAGGGAAGAGGTACCATTTGATTCAAATAAAGATACTCTTTATTCGAGAACTGCTTTAAGCAGTTGAATTTTAATGAGATTAAATTGTATAGTCTGATCGCCCTTTTCGAAAGTCTTCCTTCATTTTTGGTTTATTTAAAAGCAAACGGTAGACTGAGCCTCATTTTGTAAAAACGAAACATACATTTTGTTTTGGAAAATAGTATTTTCTCCAATATCAGAATGTCATTTTAACTTTAGAATTAATTTTCTCTGTGTTTTTGCGAAACGTATAGGTTTAGTCTCTTGTTGCAGCGAACCTTTCAATTCTATTCACAAATAGTTGACGAACGTCATTGTATAATCGTTTATTATAATATAGAGACAGGTCTTTAATATTATATGTATATTTTAATAATTAAAATCTTGGACTTTAATATGAGGCTATATAAATACACAGTGTTTTATAATTAAAAATTGTTATACGAATTCAAACAAAGCTAGATTCTCTAAATTAATCTTCAATTAATCATATCAGTTCTAGAATTGAGGTCAGACTCTCTGGGACATTCTATATTAAAGATAGGTACATGGAAAATATATATAGATATATGGCTATGTATGTGTTTGAATTTTGCGAAATTAATTTTAAGAAAAAGTGCTGTGCTTCTACTCGCTATAAATTCACAGTCTCAACTTTTCATCAACTGTGCTCGAAGGATAAATATCGAGCTTTAAATATTGTATCTCCACACGTAATTAAAGTCTGAATCTGATCGTAATGAGAGAATTTGTGTCACATTCAAGTATATTCTCATTTCCTTTTCAATTAGAGAGCAAAGCTAATAATACAGCAAATCGATGACCCAGCAAGCAATTTAATGTCTTAATCTCTCGTTGAAGACAGAAGGAAAATCTGGAAAGATTTACAGAACTGTTTTGTCTGCGTATGTAAAAAAAGAAAAATGTTCGATGTTCAATAACTTTTTGAATTGCATTTCATCCACTTTTGAACCAAATGACACAGATCCTCGCATTTTTAGACCATTTTATCGATAACGTGATATACTCGTGACATATATTCTCGTAGTCGTAAAATCTTTGCTATAAAAGCGCAAAATTTATCTTTACGTAGAATCTTCAAATAGCACGCGCGGCCGACAAGAGTGTGTCGGGCGAGTGTGTCAAAAAGTGGACTTGCCCCGCTTTTTTTTTTTTTTCTTTTTTACGATTCGCGACATCAATTGAATTCAATTGGAGAGCCAATATCGCTCTCGTCGCCGGAGGAGCGTTCCGAGATCAGCGGGCGCCCCGCTCTCGCGTTAGAATCGCGCGCCGCATACGAAATCGTGGGAAGCGATCGACGATGAAATTTTCGCCGAAGGAGAGTCTGTGCGGGAGAAAGCGCAGCGCGCGGTAGTCCCCGGGGCGGTACTCCAGCAGCAGCTCCAGCAGCAGCAGCACCAGCACTACCAGCCGAGCGCGTGCTGGCGATGGCGAGCGGTTGAAGTTCCGCGTATCCACGATCGGCGCCGCTGATGCGCCGCGCCGCGCCGCGCCGCGCCGCCGCTGCGGTTGTGGCAAGTGGCAACCGCTTGAACCGCCGCCGCCGTCGCCGTTCACCGCGTCAGCTTACCGCCGTCGCTTACGCGTCCGCCCAAAAGCCAGCGGAGCAGGCAGCACAGCGCGCCTCTGCTGCTCTGGTTGCCTCTGCGGTCGGCCGATCGCCATCATGAAAACATTCGCCCGTCGTTATCGTTATTTCGCCTCCGTCCTTGCGGGCTAGCGCGCGGATTGGAGGTGATTGGAGGTAGTATCGCGTCGAGCGCGTCGGGGAAGTCTGGCTCCGCTCGGCACGGCCACGTTACAACGCGAGCCACCGCGACCCACCGATTCACCACGGCTCGTTGTCCGTCGTCGTCGTCGCCGCCGCCGCCGCCGCCACGGCCACGCACGGGGCCAACACGAGGCGCGAAGGCTGCTGCCCTGGCTGCTGTTCTGTTTCGTCGGTGGTGGTGTCGATTTCGTGTGCTGCGCGAAGTGCGCCGCGGGAGGATTATAAAACGAGGGAGAGAGAGACAGCCATCGCGACGTGGGAAAGAGACAGGCGATTCTCTCTCGACAGTCCTATTGTGAGCGGGGTGTTCGCGGATCGCGATAAGAGGATACGGCCGCCGCCACTTAAATGCCTCGCACAAATTCCTACTCCATGTTGTGCATCGGTTGCGACACGGCTGCGTGTTGGAAAGTGAGTAATAGTCGTAACGCGCTGCTACGCGATCACGCCTTCTCTATATCTCGTCTGACGTCGTTGACCATCTCTCTCTCTCTCTTTGCCCCTGGCTGCTTAAGCCGCCTTATCGCGCGGAACAAAAGGGAAGGAAAACGAAATATCAGATCGCCAAGATGACGTAGTAAAAATTCCTAGGAATTGTGCTTCCCCTCTTCCTCTCACCCTCTCGCTTGCTCCCACCAGAATTCTCGCCTTCTCGTTCTCTCTCTCTCTCTCTCTCTCTGTCGCTCATGTTTGCTCTCGCGGTCGTAGTATCGGATCTCCTTTTGTTGAAATTTCGGTTATTATCGAGTGCCTCAGCGTGTCCACAACTCCAAGGGCATGTCTCATTAAGAAGATATTTATGTTTTGACCTTGCATGGCGCAGCAAGCAGGAGAAATTGTTAAGAGGTTTCCCATTTTCTTGCCAGTACACATTGTGTTATCCAAAAGTTTCAAAAATTTGCCTGCTTTTCTTCTCTTAAACACTCATCATGATTATCGTCCTAAAAACGTCATCGTCTCTGGTGTTATTCTTGTTGGTCAATTGTGTGGTCCGTGTTTATTTCTTTGTCATAAAAAAAAAGTCGACATAATGTAATATATTTTGTGAATCAATTGTTGTTACACCTTAAGTTTAATATTTATCAAGTGCAATACTCTTTGTGATCTTTAATTGTAATTTGGCTTTGTCATTCTCGTTTATAATGTATTTTAATTTTCAATGTACTTTATATTCTCTCAATACATACTATTTATTGTTGATGTACAAAATAATTATTTTATATATTTGAATACAAGCTGTATAAGAATTAAATTTGTGGGATGATAATGTTCTTATATTTGCATATATTTTAATTAAGCTTTTATATATTCTTAACTTCCTTATATTATCTATTCTTAAGCTTTGTAGTATAAGATATTGACTAGTATTTTATTTTATATTCTTTGTTTAATTGCATGATTCATTTGTAAACAGGTGAGTACATGGTGACACACGGTTGCAGAGGAGCAATTGGGAAGAGAGCCGCAGCAAAGGACTACACCTAGTTATCCTACACCAAGCTGACTGCAACTTTCCACTGTTTCTCAAGGCAGTGATCGCAACTAGGATATAAACAGAAGTTTCCTTGATTTACGAAGAGTGTACACTAATAAAAGACGAGTTATGGAACGAGAGTCTAATCCTATGCAAGCTCTGTGTCGCAGTGGCTGTGGATTTTATGGCTCGCCAGCTACTGATGGCCTTTGCTCCCTTTGCTATAAGGAAAATCTAAAAAAGAAGCAGCAACCACCAGTGTCAGCTGCCACCGTACCAACCTCACAGACTGTCTCCAGCAACGCTGGCACGTTGCAAAGCAGTTTTGGTAGCCCAGCAGCTACAGGAACGACGGCCCAACCTACCATTCCTACTATACCTCAGTCAACGTCGGATCTACCCAGTCCTAAAGAAGTGAGTATCATCATGTCTTTTTCATAGCTATTCTGCACAAACGTAACACCTTTGTTCTTTCCATTAATTTGCAGAAAATAGCGCTTATAAGCAGTCCTGAACCCACAAGGTCGTATACATTAAATTGTTTTTAGTCTGTAAAACATATTTGTTCAAAACAGCAAAAGGAAAGAATATAAGAACTTGTTTGCGTTAACTTTACAAGACATTAAACTGCAGCGTATACTTATAGCTTCTTTTGCATTGTCTCATGATGTGAACATTTTATTTTATACAAATTCATGGACTGTAGAGATAAGAAATTATATAATTATATTATCTACAAAAATAGATTATCTATATTTCTAAGAGGGAGTGATGCAACGTATCTAATTGAAACATTTAAATTCTGATAATAATTATGATGAAAAAATTGATTGAACAATCTGTTTTATTTGTTACGTTTATGACTTTTCTAAATGATAGGCATTTATACCTAATCAACTGATATAATTAATATAAGGATTTATATGTTTCTGTAACATATGTAATAATGCAATTCTTTCCATTAAATTAAAAATAGGATATTATCAAGAAACTTAAAAGATATATAAAAAATATAATGAAAACCTTTATGAAATAACTATAATAGTAAATGATTGTTTTCATTGTTTTTATATAGTATGTGTTATTATGTGTGTTAATCAGGTAAACAGAGAAGATCAGGAAAATGAAGTAGGTGTAAGCAGTGCAGTAGCTGAAGGTTCATCGGCGAGTAGTGGAGATGTAGATGATTCCTTTGATGGCAAAGAGACTGATAAAGAATCTAAGAAGAAGAAAAATCGTTGTGCTGTATGTCGCAAAAAAGTTGGTTTGACTGGTAAGTTTCAATGCAATTGAATTAGTTTAGTAATGCTGCTTGGAGTTGTTTTGACAATGATAAACTTTCAGGATTTGAGTGTCGTTGTGGAGGACTATTCTGCGCTGTGCATCGATACAGTGACAAGCACGATTGCAAATTCGATTACAAAGAAATGGGCGCTCAAGAAATTCGGCGCAACAATCCAGTTGTTGTTGGTGAAAAAGTGCAAAAAATTTGAACTATTTAGTGTGTAGTCGTTGGGAAAATGGTTATTATAACTATATAAACAAACAGAATATAAAAAAAACACGCAGAAAACGAGATAAATTATCTGGCAGCTGATTCGCACGTCGAGGGGTGAAACGAGCGAGCGTGTAAGATCGTAAGCGAGTGAGAGAATGAATGTGAGTGAGAGCGCGCAAGAGCGACAGTAAAATTGTTTTGTAGCTGAATGTTGAGGAAAGGTAGAAAAATTAAGAAAAGAAATGAATATCAGACAGAACAAATAAATGAAGGGTTGCAAATTAGAATGCGTGGTGCGCGTGTATGATTGATTCGTAATTGGATGCCAGTGCCATGTAAGTTTCAGATTGTCATCTAGCGAGAGAATTTTAATTGAGAATATACCTGGTTACTAATTGCTGCCAGTTTACTACTATTATTACCTATTATTATCTTCATGATTATTACGGTTTATGATTATTCTATATTATGTTTATTAATTTACTTAAATGGAAAATTCTGCGAAAAAATGAAGCTCGTTTTACGTAAAGGCAGAACTCTTGGTGCGGTCAGTCGGTCCAGGACGTCTTCTTAGGAGTTTTGGTTTGTTCGAGAAATTTTATACATTGCTGTTTCGTTTATATATATCAAAAAATAAAAAATAGGGAATGTTGCTTAGGTAATGGCTGACGTTGATGGGTGATCACAATCTTAGGTTAATAATTAGTCTAATAATTATTAAGTATATTAGTCTATTGATTCATAAATAATGCAATGAAGTATAAGTAGTACTGTGTGTTTATGTCCAATTTCACGTGAATATAACCAGCAATTATTACTCATTAAATATGTTTCAACCTATATTGCAAATAATTATTTACACTACGGCCGCCAATCTGGGATTTGTAAATTATAAACCCCTCTTTAACGTATTTCTTCGATTTCTCTTAGAATATAAATGAATTGTTAATGGTTGAAGTCGATTAGTTTATACTCGTTTTCTTTATTTTTGCTTGTTTTACGAGTTTTGTAGGGTAGCTGCGCGAGGTATTCCGGTGCTGCACAGCAGCGCATAATGTACGAATAAATGATGATTAATAAAATGTCTAGAGAGAGGCCGGGCATTATATATGAACGACGAAAGAAGAGAACTATTAAAGTTTGTAAAGTGTGAACGTATACTAAAACCGTGCGCGAAGGATATTACACTGATAAATTTTATAATCCACGTACATACTTCTATTTTTCTTCTCCGCGCTTAAAACTCGTGCCGAATTTTATTTTCTGTTTTTCGCCCGTAAACACTTATGTATGTATGTAAAGTTATAGCATACACGAAAAGGGTGCTATAGCTGTTTAGCTTTGTTATATTTCTGTAAAACAAGATGAGTGAAGACGATAAAACTGCGCAAACTACGCCTCACGTATAGGTCAATTCCTTGAGAGCTTCATGAGAGTGAGTTTGGGTTTTTGAAGAAAAGAATATTAAAAAAAAAACATTGTGCGATTTCTCGATTTCGCGTAAAACAAAGTAGCAATGTTTTCTTCTATTTTTTCTTTTTGTTATTTTAGGACAAAGCGCTTAATCTAAATTGTGCTGCCGTGCTTTTATTTTTCGTTTTGTAATTAGTGGACTTGTATAAATATCCGCCTAAAAGAAATTGTTTTTGCGTCGCCTCGAAAGATGTACATCAAATATCTTATTATTTTCGATAAATATATGAAGCGTTCTGTTAAATGTGTAATCGTAAGGTCTATCAAGCTTTTTATGTGTTTTTCTTTCTTCAGATTTGAGTAATCAAATGCTCTGCATTAGTTATCCCGTATTAAGTTACCAAATATACTTCACGTGTCGCCGCCGAAAGTACTCCAGCCGCGAACGATTTTCTCCTCGGATACACCATCGTCGCAGCTGAGAGTTTCCAGAAAATTTTTGCGACTTAACGATATCTAGAAATTAAGGCAATCGAAAAAGACTATACTTTCGGTATAATCATGAATAATTCGGGCACGATTTCTCCGCGATCTTTACGGAACGACTTATATGCGCCGACTTCACATAGACAATATATACATATATATACACACACATATATATATATATATACATATATTTTATCTTGTATCAAGATATTGTTGTCGATGAATCTGTTCTTTTTTCCTTTTTGGCGCACCTTTTTAAGAACGCTGATGAGAGAAATCAGAATCGTGTATAGAAAAAAAAAAAAAACGCACACCACGTAACACACGTAATACACATTTACATTTACACATTACAATACATACATACACAGACACCGATTATCAGTAATATCGACGGAATGGTTGCCTTCAGGCCTTCATCCTATTTTAGGCATAGCATATTTTTCTAACGTGTATCGCAATATCGGAATAATCTTGCCTAGCGAGAGCGATCGAATGACCGAGAGAAGAGAAAGAGGAAGAGAGTGATTGAAGGAATGCGTATGTGAAAAGTAGAATTGCCTGGGAGAATGAGGCAGAGGAATGCGTGCGGGAACATAAATGATTTATAGGAGAGACGAGAGAAAGAGAGAAATTGAGAGGAAAAAAAAAAAAAGAGCGAGAGAGAAACAAAAAAGAAGTTTATCAGCGATGATCGTACTCGGCTGACTATATAAGGACGTAACACGATGCTTGTAATTATTACGATTGATATTAGTACGTTTAAGCTATTAAAAAAGTAACATCAACTTTAATATATATATATTATATGATTACAATTACCATCCTCTTTAAAATGCTTTAGACATTTAGGTTTCACGTACGTAAAAAAAAAAAAAAAACAGTTAGTGTGCTATACGCTTTTTCCCTCTTTCCCTCCTTATTCCTCCACCATGTCTCGTCCTCTTTCTTCCCAGGCCCTCACGGACCCTTTTGACAGTTCTTGAAACGTTTATAATTATAGCGGACTATATTTATGTATATTTAAAAACAAAATATATATAAATGCATCGCCCCTAAACGAAAGCCGGAAATCGTTTTTTGTGTGTTCTTGACTACTTTATATAGGGTTCTTTAATTAGCACCTTGTCGAATTATATTGTAGCCGTACTGTACAAAGAAAAAAAAAAAAAAACAAGAAGAGATGAGGTAACGTCTCCCGGATGTATTTGAACGAGGTGCGACCTTATTTTCTCTGTAATGAAAATTTTTGCTGCAATAAACGGTTTATCTTTTATCACGTTGGATACTCGATACTATTTTGACCGAAATTTATACTGTTTGACGTATAACACACGATGCCTTTAAGAATTTTAACAATAAACGTGAGTCGTTTTTTATGTGATACATTATTAAAATGTTACCATTAATACTGTCTACCGAAAAACATAACGTAATTAAAATAGTATATAGATATATATGTATATAAGGACAAAACTATTTCTAAAATATATATGTTTTACAATTAGAAAAAGAAAGAAGTATCGGTGCAAAAAGGGAATAAAACAACGAAACGGGACAAATGCTTTCCATCTTTTAATAAAAATATGAGAAATTAGATATTCGAGAAAATGAATATTTTTCTTTTTTTTGTTAGAATTTGCTTTACATGTAAAATTGCGTAAAATCGACCATCGTAAATGCCTCTTTGATTGCATTTGTAATCATTGTATGAAAATTAACATCTACGGTGAACAGAAAGAATTAAAAGTAAAGTAGATATAGTAAAAAGTATTATGTGATAATGATTATATATTTCAATGGCAAAATAGTGCGCGCAATGAATGGGCTTTTAGGCTGTAATGAATGTAAATATGCTTCTCTTTTCTTACTCATAAAATTCGTATAAAGCACTTTAAGATATTTTTAATGAATTTACGTAACGATATAATATCTAACATAATATTTATAGACATCCATTGCAGTGTAAGCTGCCATTTTATTTTATAAGCTTGGCATTGCGATTGATCGCAGCATCGTGTTTCCATCATGCTAATCCGTATTTCATGATCCTTAAAGGCATGTCCAAAAGACACGACCGATTGTATGAGCGACAAAACGAAGAAGCAACGGTCAAGCAGCAACGGTTGTAAAACTGTCGAAGTCTATTGAACGTTCAAATTGATAAAACGACTACCCTGCTTGTCGAGCAAATGAACAATAATTATTAATTAGTTGTTACTTATAGATCTAACCAATCATACTCAATCGCTCAGCAAGCGTACCTATCCGCTTTGCCGTCTTGAACTCGCTCATTTTCTATTTTACTGGTCATATCGTCTCGCTGATTGGTTGCTGCTTCCGCTGTTTGACGCTTTGACGGTTGCATATGAATGTATGTGATTGGAGCAAATCCGGTCGGGTCGAGAACGCCAATAGAATGGACATCGATCTTTTTCGATATATCGATCGATATATATACTTATGATTCGTACCCATTCATTGCTTTATGTTGTTACTGGTTACAGTCGTGCTTCCGGCTTCGTGTGTTTGTTGAAACCGTTGAAACTGGTTGAAACGGTTTCACACAGAGGAAAGCACGATTATTTCTAACGAAAGTAATTTTTAGAAAAGCCTTCGCGACATTAATTAACCACGATGTCGATCGGAGTTCCCATTAAAGTGCTTCACGAGGCTGAGGGCCATATCATAACCTGTGAGACGAATACCGGCGAGGTGTATCGCGGCAAATTGATAGAAGCAGAGGATAATATGAATTGTCAGATGCAGAATATCACCGTGACGTATCGGGATGGCCAAGTGGGACAGCTAGAGAATGTATACATTCGCGGCTCGAAAATTAGATTTCTCATATTACCAGATATGCTGAAAAACGCACCTATGTTCAAACGACCTGGTGGCAAAGGATCAGGCACAGCCGGTAGAGGGAAGTCCGCTATATTACGAGCTCAAGGTTCGTATATTTCTGCAAACGTTGTTTATATTAATAAACAAAATTAAGACCCTAGGTATATACTGAATCAAATAATACTGACTGTATGCATAAAATTCTCAGTATTTTTGCAACTTTATTCGTTCAGTATTATTGACAATGTATTCTATTTTAATTTTATAAATTATCTGTTGCATCACATGACATACTGTGACATAGATCCTAATAAAGCAATACTGATGCTTGAGAATCAAAATCCAGTACAATGTCAGTATTCCATGATAATCTATCAATATTATACACATGATCTATCGTACCTGACATAAATATTGTCAAGAGTTGTTGATACTTGTAGTATTATTGACTGTGTAGAGGATCACCTTGATAGTATATTCTGAAAAACATGGATATCTTTAAAAGTCAGCAAAAGGAGACTAATGTTCGTTTCTATTAAAGCAAATTAATTTTAATTGATTTGAGTCACTCTTTATCCTTTTCTAATTCTTAAATCTAGAAGGAAGTGAAAAGTAAATTGAACCAAGATTAAAGTTACTTTATATTAGTAGAAACAGACATAACTTAGGCCATGTTCAGATATACACTACTAATACTAAAAATTTATAGTATATATAATATAAAGCCCATGTCAAAGATTAAGATTGAATTGAAATTGATCAGAACAAAGAGAATCAATCTCAAATTTATTGAGCTTTACTTTGTTTTAATTCCAATTTTAATCTAATCTCAATCTCTAGTCTAATAATCTAGTCTAAGTATAATAAAAATAGTTTTAAAAATAAATTATAGTCAAATACAAGGAGAATATTTGACTGTGATTTATTAATTCTTACAATTATGATTATAATTATAGAATGGGCTAATTAACATGAATTATAGGATTTTAATACTGACAGTATATATTCAAACAAGCTTTTGACTTAACAAAAAAAAAATAGAAATAAAATTTTAACTCTGGATCTACAATAGAGTTTTAAACCTTAAGTCATAAGAAATGGATGAATCATAATCGATTATTCTCCTCGAATTCAACTACAATTAGTTAATTCTTACTGCTTAAGGCTTAAAACATCTAGATCCGGGATAATCAAAATAATAGACCAAGGGCAACAAATCAAAATTTTGATTTATTCTTATCAAATCATATTAGTTATTTATTTAAAATTTTAATATCTGTTTTAAAGTTGAATTACATTAGAATAATTAAGTAGAAAGTAATTAAATTATATTATTTATCTAATTAGGGAACAATATCAATAGTTTTTTAATAATATATATAAAATAAATATTTCTTGTCAGTTTGAATTTTTTTGAAGATAAGATTAGTATGTATTACATTTATACACATTTGACAACCCTATGTGATGAAATGCTTTCAGCTCGTGGCAGGGGCAGAGGACAAAATCAAAGAGGCAAAGGTACTGGTTCGGCACCTTGGCTAAATCAACAGAATCAACCAGGTGGATCTCAACCTGGAAGAGGCAGAGGATAAATCTTGTGATAATAAACTTTATTTTGATTATAGATACAAGTGTAAAATTTTATTTCTGTATTTTATTATATA